GTTTGAGCCCCACTCCCACAGCCTGCCACTCTGGCTCCCTAAGCAAAAGACCCTTAACCCCGCACTGCTCCCCAGGCACTGCACAATGGCATCATACTGCTCCCCAAGGGGATGGGTTAAATGCAGAGAATTAATTCCATTGCTCTGTACTTGTGACAGTGTAGTGGCAATAAAGTTTAATTCTATTCTATTTCTAATACATTAACAATTTAAAGAAAGCTGTAAAGAAATTTGCAATAAGAATGGTTTTTGAAAAATGAAGAAGCCAATAACATCTGTAGTCGATCACATCTATTCCCATTATCGATTTAGAAACAGTACAAATAATTATTGATTATATCAATAATCTGTGCCATTGTAGCATGGTTGAAGACACTTCCTGGGTCTGTTGGGGGTAGCAAAGATAAAGTCTGACAACAGCAGGGAGAAGGGGTCTGCAGAAGCAGTCTATTGTACATCTAGAATGCAGCACTCTTTCACTCAGTGAACTCTCCAGCTACATAACAGCTTTATGAATAGAGTGGAAGATATTGTCCAACCATGTCCTTCTGTCTCCCAATATCTGCTCCGTGTCCAGAGGGCATCATAGGACAGAGCCTTCCTCAGTACCTTATCCTACCTTTTCCTCTTAGCTGCAAAAGGGCTGCTGCTTCAACATGCCACGCCATCATAAATGTCTAATGCCACCATAGAGGTAAAGCTAGGTCTTCAGGAACGACCCTGCAGTCTTAAAGATCTCAGTTCCCTTAGCAGGTATAGTCTGATCTCACCCTTCATCTAAACAGTTTTTATGCTTTAAGCAGGATTAATATCAGTTTAAAGGTTATTAAAAGGCACTCTTAGTTTGACCCAAAAAAAGTCTTATGGAACACATATTTACTGAGTTGTACCTGTATTTTTTGTTGCTATGCAAAAGCAAACATTTATTTAGGCTGACATTCTGCTTTAGTTGAAGCAACACATTGACAGTATCAGGGAACAACTCTAATGCCTTCATTCATAAAAGAGAAGATAAGACTGGAATCAGTGCAAGGAGAACTTAATTTGAAATTTGTCTCTGGCATTCTTGAACCAGTGACCAGTTAATTATCTCTGAAAATAAATTTAATTGACAAACTGAGGTTGCCTTTAAGATGAGACTTCAAAAAAAATTAATTGATTTTCTGACAAGTAATGGATTCTCCATGTTATCAGTTTCTTTTAAGGACAGCATTTCTGTACTTGTTGCTCATTGGTCGGTACCATAGCCTGCAGAGCCTTTAATTAAATGTGTAATATTCTGTGGAACGATTAATGAAGAAAATATATAAAAGGAGATGTTTGAGAACCTTCAGCTTTACTTGTGTCTTGCCCTTCTCCAATCTTGTCTAAACATATAAAATTTTAGTCTTTTTATAACTTTGTTATGCTGTAGCAGTGTTTTCTAATTATATTTTTTTCCTGTCTGGACATTAAATTCATAGGTAAATGACACTTATTTGGAATTTCACCCATCTACTGTTAAACAGTAATAAAACAGGACATAAACTGTTGACAAGAACATTGGATTATTTTTCACTGCATGAACCTAAGTATATAGTTCTATATACTAGGATTGCTTCCTCTTTGTTTTTCCCACTTGCTCACTTAGGCCTTTACGTTTCTATGGAAGTGGACGCCTATAAAGGTCGCTTCAATCTCTACCCCTGTCACCAAAATCCATCAGTGCACAGATTAAATGGGGTATTTCTTGCATTTTATCCTATGTAGGCAGTTTGCTCGTGGGCATTTTGTCTCTGCCTCTACGTAGGAGTATACGTGGACAGAGGAGAGCAGCCTTCTGTAGACTGACATCCTGCTACGGTTTGGGGTAGGTTTATAAATAGTGTACAGCCACTTGTAATTCAGAAAGATGAAATGACCTTTTTCTTATTTTTCCTTTGGTTCAGGTATGGTTTATGGGTTATTTTTCCTGCACTCCCTCAGCAAAGAAAGCTTTTCCCCTTAACTTATGACCAATCAGTACAGTGGTCTGTTGATGTCACATTTAGGTCCTACACAGCACTATCCTTAGCAGCTCCTTAGCAGGCATAGATAAGTCATTTAAGCACAGAGTTAAACATGGATGGAAATGCTGTGAAATCAGGCAGATTGTAGTTTAACAGGGACAACTTGAGCTGATTGGCAGAAAGTTTTCTTTAGTTTCGTTTGCAGCACCTTATATAAGCTTCACATAATAATTTTTTTAACCCACACTTTAGTTGGATGAAATCACTCCAGTGAAAGGCCACTGTTATCAATAATGTAGGAGGAGTGTTGTCTCTTCTCCCACTTTGACTCTAAAGCACTATTTATTTTGTTTAAAAGAAAAAACTGCTGCAAAGGGACGTGGGTATCCAGGAGATGGCACAAAAAAGGGAACAGTTGCAGGAAAATGAAAAGCAGCTTGTTTTGATGAAACGTGAAGAAGTCGAAATAGGCTCGGTATGTTTTTACCTTTTTTCCCAATATGTGTGCCTTACCTCATAAGTGTTTTTTTTTTCTTTACGATGAATAAAAAGACATTATGAAGCCTTCTCATTCATAATATTGTCAGAGTTGGGCAGCATCCAGGCTTTCTATTCAAACATATTAATACAGATGGAAAGAAAGGGAGCTTTATTAATTTCTGTGTGTGTTTAAGTTAGTATGACTGTCCACACCCGGTCACATTAATCCTTGTTTATTCAAAGCAAATAAACTCTACAAAGGAAAGTGGGACATTTCATAAGCAAAGCACAAAGCAGCCTGGTGAAGACAATCTGCAGCATGCACAAGGGAATCAGTTAGCTGTGCAGTGAGCTGATGAACACTTCAACAACAGAACACATGGCTATTAAAAAACACTAAATGTGACTTCCGGGGCAGTTTGTAATCCATATTGGTTTTTGCATTTACTACCTTCTCTTAATTTGCTTTATGTTCCAAAGTTAATCTGGCAGATTTCTTTCAATTTTTTTCAGTTTTTATGGCATTCCTTGTAATTTTTTAGTACCGTATGCTACTTAAGTAACTAAATCGTCAGTTTCTGGCTTTAATCACATACAGTACATCAGCAATTTTAGATTGCAAAGGGACTATTTTACATTTTGATAGATTTTTTAGCAACTTTGTTATTCTCTTCCAAGAACCCTCAGTTAAACTAACACTGATTTATTTGAATAATGTAATATTTATCATTTGCAACTTAAAAATAGCAATATTAGCAACCCAAACTGGACTTTACTTGAGAGTGTTTTGTTAATTTCATAAGATAGTCATAGATATTCAACTAAGGTGTTAATACATTTGTAGATGTGTTTGCATTCGGGTGCTAGAGCAGGATATTTCTGGGCTGAGATCTCTGATGTTTCTCCAAGAATCTGTTGAAGTCACATCTCTGGGGTTGCTGCCCCCATTGCTCAGATGACTACGGGGACTACAGTTCCCTTTACCTTCCAGGCTCTCTCTACTTCTTCCCAGAGCCCTTGGTAATACTCCAATCTCTCATGTTCTTTTTCCTGATATTTCCACCATTTGCGATGGCCACATCAATCACTACAACTGTCCTCCTTTAGGCCAGTTTTCGTAGCGGAAAGACAGTTAGATTAAACAAAACTTTTATTAAAGTTGGAACTGCTGTGAACAGTGTTAGGCAGGAACCTCTGCAGGAGGAGACCAAAGGTTAGTGATCACGTCTTTCTGGGGAGGATTATAATGAACGTGTGAGTCACTAACCTGGTCTTAAAATTCAGTCCGGGCCCAGAGGATGAGGTTGGTTCCAGGGTGCCAACGAGACACAGCGGGCGGCACCCAGAGAGTCCCAGAAGCTGGTGTCTCGGTGGTCGCAGGACAGGCACGAGATCAGAAAAGACCAGACGAAGGAAAGCAGGATAATCCAGAGGGCGAAGCCAAAGCCAGTGTCGATGACATCCTCTGTAGTCAGAGCCAGGAGGTCAGAGATCCATTAAGGTGCACTAGGGAAAACCAGAACAGAGTCAGGGAACAGTTCCAGGTTTGGTTAACACACAGGTAGAAATCCGGCAAGAGTCTAAAGACAGGTCAGGCTGGCACAGATGACTGGTAGAAGGCTGGTTAAATAGAAGCTGAAGCAGGTGGCTCAAATGAGCAGTAATGAGAACATGGTGGAGATACGCAGGTGATTATAATGAGTGTTTAGACCAGACCTCAGATCAAGATCATGACAGTCCTCTGCTGCTTATCAATGATCACAATGTCCTGTTGGTTGGTTTGTATCTGAAAGTGAGCTAGGAATGTTTCTAATCTTAAATGGAAATGTTAATATCTTTGTACAGTTGGGACTTAATTACTGCTTTAGATTTTTTTCTTCTTCAGCCAATGGCATGCTTTAGAGTCTGTTCACTCAAGTTAATGGTTAGATTGATTTTCCAAATTATTGGATGATTATTTCAGTAACTGATTGATCATGATTAGATGAATTGTTTAATTTCTATTTTAGATTAAGTTTTGCCCCCTTTAAAGATAGCAGCATGTATCTGGATGGGTTCAAGATGCTTTACAATCACCTCAAAATGCTACTCCAAAGAAATGGCCAGAAAGCTTAAAATACTTTGTTAGCTGCAATGCTGCTACAGCAGTGCTATCTGTCTGGAATTATAAACAGCCTCATATGTGTAGCTTTGGGAATTGAAATACAGAAAAGGGACTCTAATTAATCAATTGTCTGTCGAGTAGCAGGAAGTGGAGGATAAATCTATTGTCTTGGCCAGTTTATACTGATTTACTATAAATGCATGTTTGGACTCATCTTCATTTTGAAAAAAGATTTGCTTCGATATTTTCATTTTTCTTGCATTTTTCTTGAGTCAAACTTAATTGTATTTTATACAGTTTACAATTTCATTTATTTACCTTATTTTTGTGTTTTCTAGAAATCTTCCCAAGCTGCCCACTTAACTCAGCCATCATCACACTTTTAAGTCAACTGCCTTTTAATCTCTAACTCTTTCTCCATTTGTCAGGTCTGCCCCTCTACAGCCGAGTAGCAGAGAACTGCGAGGAAGTGGCTTACTTTAATGAGGTCAGTATCTATATTTCACTCTACATTCATCAGAACACATCGAACTGATTTCACACTTTAAAAGCTCTCTTAATGAACTTGGCTAGAATCTCAATAATTGGCAGAAACAACAGAGGCAGAGGGATTTAGTTTACTTCAGTTTACTTTAGTAGGGGAAGCTTAATGAGTCGTTTTTAGACACACGTTTTATAACAGAACCATGCAAGTTTTTTGAGCTGAATTTATTGCATGACGTGTTTCTGAGGCATTAATATTAGGTATTAGTTCTTTTCCACTTGCAAACTGTCACTTACCATTTGCTGTATTTTGAGAATTTAACCACCTTATCTGGCGTTACTAGGGGCTAAAAGTAAATTTTGAGCCAACTGCAGGAAGTGTAATGTGACTTACTGAAAAACTACTCTTTCAACCACACTAGTAACGGTTTTGTAAGCCGGATTTTTCTTTTGTTATGAAAATTCTAATGCTATGCAATATTTTCCGTAAATGATAAGATAGTGATAACTGTTTTTTAATTATTTTATTAAGGCTTTCAAACCTTTAAAAGTTACTAAATGATGTATTGAACTGTAATTATGTTTAAGAATTAGAGTTAATCAAATAAAAAGACTGATATATAGTGTCTTTGAATATAGTAATACACCTTGATCACTTTTGTCACACAACATTTGTTTTTGTCACAGGATTTTGGGTGACGGATCACCAAAAAGTAGAATACAATTGCAGTGGTATGCAATAGTTCTCTTGCATTTAGACTTAGACTTACAGTAGACAGATTTATTTTGTCATTTTGTATACAAATTATTTGATGATTGTTATTGTGATGAATGTATACAAAAATAAATTTTGTTTAAAACAGCTCTAGACAATTTCATTTTTTTAAGTGCAGCCTTGAAAACAGTAATAAATACATTAAAAATCAATATAAACATATGACTGGCTGTCATTCATGATGTTACTGGCTCGGGACACGCAGCGCTTGGATGAAATGTGTTAAATGGAGGAAAGAGGATCCCCCATGATCTTCTCTGCTGTTCTTACTACTATTCTCACCTTCTTCCAGTCTGACGCGCTGCAGCCTTAACACCACACAGTGAGACAGCTGGTCAGAACGCTTTCTATGGTGCTTCTGTGGAAGATGGTGATGATGGGTTGGGGCAGGTGGGCTCTCCGCATCCTCCGCAAGAAGTACATGCGCTTTTGTGCCCTTTTGATCAGTCAGGTGGTGTTTACATTCCAGATGAGCGTGTCTGTGATGTGCACCCCCAGGAATTTGGTGCTATTGACCACTTCTACAGCTGAGCTGTTGATGACCAGTGGAGCACGGTTAGGCTGAGTCTTCCTGAAGTCCAAGATGATCTCTTTTGTCTTCTCCTAGTTCAGGATCAGGCTGTTATCTTTGCACCAGTCCACCAGCTGCTCCATCTCCTCTATGTAGTCCTGGTCATTGTCATCACTGATGAGGCCCACCACCGTGGTGTCGTCTGCAAACTTTACTGTGTGATAGGTGGTGAACCTGGGGGCACAGTCATGTGTTATCAGGGTGAACAGCAGGGGGCTCAGGACGCAGCCCTGAGGGGAGACTGTGCTTAGGATGATGACATCAGAGGTGTTCTGTCCGACCCGGACTGACTGAGGTCTGTTGGTGAGGAAGTCTAGCAGCCAATTTTAAGGGGTTTTATTGAAGCCCAGCTGTTCCAGTTTTCCCATCAGATGCTGTGGGATGATGGTGTTGAAAGTTGAACTGAAGTCCAGGAACAGCATCCGCACGTAGGTGTTCCTCTCCTGCAGGTGAGAGAGCAGGCTCAGGTGGAAAGCAGCAGAGAAGACCTCCTCAGTGGAGCGGTTCCGTCGGTAGGCGAACTGGAACGGGTTGAATGTTGGCAGCAGACTTTGACCAGCCTTTCGAAGCAACTCATCATGATTGGAGTCAGTGTGACAGGCCGGTAATCATTGAGTGAGTTGACCTGAGGCTTCTTTGGGACTGGAGTAATGGTGGCAGACTTGAAGCATGCTGGCACTATGGATTGGTCCAGCTAGGTGTTAAAAATGTCTGTGAGGACACCAGCCAGCTGATCTGCACACTCCTTATACACCCGCCCAGGTATGTTATCAGCCCCTGAGAGGATTGACTCTCCTCAGAGTTTTCCTCACTTCAGCTACATCCAGGTTTAGTGCCTCCTCCACCTGGTGTGGAACAGCTTTCACTGCTGGAGGCTGTTTAGTGCCTCAAACCTTCCAAAGAGGTTGTTCATTTCATTTAGGAAGTCAGTGTTTGCTGCATCTACCGGGGAGGTAGTGTGTGTTGTAGTCATCATCCGAATGCCTTTCCACATCCTCCTGGTCTTGCTGTCATCATCCAAAAAAACCCTGTATTTTCTGGCTGTGGTTCTGCTTCGCTGATCTGATGGCACGTTTAAGTTGGCACACACCGTTCTCAGTGCGTCTTTATCACAAGAGTTGAAAGCTGAGTTCCATGCTTTTAGCGATTTCGGAACCTCTCAATTTATCCAGGGTGGTTGGTTGGCCCGGGTGGTGATGTTCTTTTTGATGCTGCTGTCCTCAATGTATTTGTTGATGTACGCTGACACAGTCATAGCATACTCATCAATATTTAATAAGTTGTCATATGTTGCTGCAGCATTGAGGATGTTCCAGTCAGAGCATTCAAAACAGTCTTGGAGTGACTCCATGGCGGCCTCAGACCACACTCGGAACTCTTTAACTGTTGGTTTAGCTATTTAGCGCTCGCTATTCAGATACCCCTTAAGTTCATAGTCTGACTACATAGTCTACCTGTGTTTTAACATAATAAGAATGTGAATACAATTGTTCTGTTAGTCTCAGATGTCGGTTAAGGTACATAAGTGAACAAAAAGCCTTATGATGATCAAGAAAGATACCAGATAAGTTATGGATAAAGTTATAAAACTAACAAAAATATCCCAAGCTTTGAACATCTAACAAAGCATGATATGAAACATACGATACATCATTGTCATGAATCGCGGACAGATGGACCCAGTATTCAGGAGAGACTGTCAGTAGGAAAGTTCAAAAGGTTTATTAAAATAAAAACAAAACAAAAGCGGAGCTGTGGCTCGAGGACACTGCAGGCAGGGGGGGCGGGGCACCGCCCAATCTCAGACACTCTAGGGAGGAAACACAGGTAAGTGACCACGATCAACCAATAGAAGATTAACTGTGTTGGTCACTTACCTGGTTTAACAGTCCAGACCACAAGTGTCCCAGTGCTGCAGTCCCAGAGGTGATGGTGGAAGCTGATCCTGGTCAGGGATCCAGAACAGACAGGAACAGACAGAGGTGGCAGGATCCAGACTTCCATGCAACCACAGGCTTCCAGGAGGGTTCAGAGTCTTACTGGGACCAGAAGCATGACCAGGTGGTCACGCACAGGAGCAGACAGGATCAGGTGCAGACAGGCAGGCTCAGTGGAAGAGGGTAGCCGAGACAGGACGTGGAACCGGAACTTGAAGCAGACTTTAAACTGGTCTCCACCCAGGAGCCAGGCTTACTTAGATAAAAACTGAACCCCCCCCCATAATGAGCCAAAAACCCAGAGGACTCCGCAGGGGAGGAACAGTGGACGATCAGGAGACGAGACAAACACTAAAACCCTCTTTCCACTGGCTGCCAGGATCCAGGACATGAACCAAATAAAAACTGAACAGAAAGACTGACAGAAAGACAAGCAATGATCTGGCACTGAATGCTCAGGCTGAACTGAATATAAACCAGAGGAAACAGGTGAGAGGAATTAATTATAATGAGGCAGGGAGGGAAGAGGGCAGGTGAAAGGAATTACTAATTAAGGGAGAGCAAACAGGCCAGATCATGACAATCATATACAAACAGAAATGATCTGACTGGAAAAAAGGTCCTTGAAACCTTGAACCAAAATACGTAAACTAGGGGGTTGAGGTTGCTTGAGGACCCAAATGCAGAGGTGAGTGAAGCAGAGATGAGTTCTTGTTGGTTTAATGAAAAAAATAAAAATAAGGCAGACATCTAAAAAATCAAAAATACAAAGCACCAAAAAAAAAAAAAAGAAAACAGTGACTGAGCATGAGGTGTATAAATGGGAGACTGAACCAGGCTAGGCTAATCGGCAGATTGGGAGCAGGTGTGGACAGAGCAGTCTAGAAGGGAGCTAGGGGAAAAGAGACTAACACAAGAGGGCAGCAGAGGGCAAGCAATACCTAAGAACTAAATTACAATAAAAAATTAGAGAATAACACAAAATTGAAATTAAACCAATAAACTATAAAAAGCAGAAAAACATGAATCAAAGTAAAACTGAAAGCCCAAAAAAGAAAACTTAAACAAAACCAAAAAGTGCAGAGCAATGTCAAAATGTACAAGTCTGAAGAAAAAAATATTATTTGGAGAAGCAACCAGGAGATGTATTCTAACTCTAGAAGGGCTGCAGGGATAAACACCTCATGTGGCAGAATCTGTTGATAGCACAGCTCGCTTTTAGTGGAGAGTTGCAAGAGCAAACTTGTCCAGGTTACAGAATGCGACAAACCAGAGGGTAGGGCAACATAAGAACATTTGGGTTTTGGTTTATTTATGACAAAAAATCTCTCTTAATATAACCACCCCATCCGTTGTGGTGATAGCGTCATTTTATGAGAATAAAGTCTGTAAAATACATCACAAAACATATTTTGATTTCATCATTAGTGTGACAAGTGTTATTGTTGAAAAGGATTGTTTGGAATATTGTACTCATATTAGTGTACTTAAGTATGCACTTTGCATGTACATTTTATATGTAACGTGTTAAATCTGCCATAGAAGCCATCACCTGACCTGGTTAAAATTCCCAATATACTAAATATCACAGAGAGGGCTGAAAGAAAGGTTATGAAGACAGGGGGTAAATGTGGATTTGTTGTTACTATTATCAGCATCACAATTTTAAGTAGTAATATTGTTATTGGGCAGAGGCTTAACTCTAAACCAGTGCTGAGCAT